TCGGGCCCTAGCCAGCCCCACTAGGTATGGAAACTGTGCTGAGCAGCCCAAACAGGCAAGCCCCATGAAAAAGCCCTACTTTGGCGAAATAGGGTTTCACGATTGTGGATCAGTCGGTAAGGAAACGCCCTTCTCACTTAAGCACCCCCGACCCGCGCGCAACGTACACGCGCGCGCGCGCGCAACGCGGAAAAGACAAAAAGTTTCCAGAGGGTGGGGTCGAGCCTAAGCCTCGCGCTACGACAGTTGCGGTGTTTCCAACTAGGCCGCTCGCGCGTCGATTTGGTAATTTGGGTCCCTAGTTCCAAATCTTAAAACAAACCCTTTTGGGCAAAAATTGGGTTTCACAACGGTTGATTGGTTCGCCGCCGTTTTGGCCTGGTTTCCCAACCTACCAAGGCCTAGTAAGTAAAGATCATGAGCCGCACAGCTCTAAAAGGCAAGCCCCCTGAAACGACCCTATTTCGGCGAAATAGGGCTTCACGACTGTGGATTGGTTTGCAACCTTTTTGCTGTTGTCTCAGGCCCTAGCCACCCCCACTAGGCATGGAAACTGCGCTGAGCAGCTCAAATAGGCAAGCCCCATGAAACGACCCTATCTCGGCGAAATAGGGTTTCACGACTGCGGATTGGTTTGCAGCCTTGTTGATGTTGTCTCGGGCCCTAGCCAGCCCTACTAGGCATGGAAACTGTACTGAGCAGCTCCAACAGGCAAGCCCCATGAAAAAGCCCTATTTTGGCGAAATAGGGTTTCACGACTGTGGATTGGTTTGCGGCCTTGTTGATGTTGTCTTAGGCATGGAAACTGTGCTGAACGGCTCAAGTAGGCAAGCCCCATGAAGCAACCCTATTTTTGCGAAATAGGGCTTCAGGACTGTGGATTGGTTTCCACCCTTGTTGATGTTGTCTCGGGCCCTAGCCAGCCCCACTAGGCATGGAAACTGTGCTGAACAGCTCAAACAGGCAAGCCCCATGAAACAACCCTATTTTTGCGAAATAGGGTTTCACGACTGTGGATTGGTTTGCAGCCTTGTTGATGTTGTCTCAGGCCCTAGCCAGCCCAAGTAGGTCAGGAAGCTGCGCCTTGCAGCTCAATTAAACATAGACCACCCCCCCTCAAGAGAACACTTTTTTTTCAAAGGCTTTGGAGCCACCCACCCGCTCACTCGTGCCAGCCAAGCACAAGCAAACCCCGATCAGCCACGTCCCTCCCAAGGGGTGCGTGTGCTGGTTGGGGGTCAAGAAGACAGATAGACAGACAGACAGAGAGACAGCCCACCCAGCCAGCCTGCCAGGAGCCAGGCAGGCAGGCATGCAGGCAGACGAGGTGACTGAAATTATTCAAATTAAACGAGGCGAGGTGAATAATTTCAAAACATTGAATTAAGACGAGGTACGAGGTGAACGAAATTAATGAAATTAGTTTAATTCACCCAGATTGGTGTTGCAAGCAGATCATTGAATCTGGGATAGGTGAAGTCTGGCACACATTCTGAATTGAATCGGAGGAGGGGAGCCTCATGTGGGGCCAGCTGTACACGGGGGCGGGGGCAACTAAATGAAGGTACGGTAATAATGGAAGTGGAACACAGGAACACCACCTGTTTGCAGAGGGAAATTGCCATCCGGGCCTATGTTCCACTTCCGTGATTATTTCCGGCAGTGCGCACTCATTCATCTCCTTAGGCCAAAAGCTTGCCAGGGGTCAAGTTTGGAAGCGCACCACACGTGGCGGACTGGTTGAGGTGCCTGGAGAGGGCAGTCGAAAGGAGATGGAACAATCGGCATTGTAGGTTGACATGATCATATGATATTGTGCTTTTGCATTGAACAGTTGCATGGACCACAGCCCTGCCATGTTCCTGGGACTGTTCCATGAAAAGCCTGCAGACACGCTGTAGCTCCTCACAGCCTTCGTCGCGTCGCAGGCAGAAGGCCCGTGAGATGCCAGAGGAGGACTTGGCCAAAGAGGAGTTCGGTGCCCGGTACGGGGCCAGTGGCCCCCAACCCTCGGCTGTGCTCATCAAGCCTCATGCCCCCGAGCGCATCAGAGTGCCCCACCCCCACACACCACTTGCGGCAAGATGTGGCACGAGTTTGACAAACGTGTCGTTTGAGACATCAACTCCTTTGCGGTATGCCATCAGACATCTGCAAGAAGCGTTGGATCTCGGAACTCTTCTCCGCTGCCAACTGGAGAAGATGCCATCCACCCGGTGGCTCTTCCGAGGCTCACGGAGGCTTTGCTGAAGCTCTTGGCGGCCCCCCAGGGCCGCTTTCAAAGTGAGGGTGGCCCAGCACCTGTGGGCGCAATGTGCAGAGGTGATTTCACGGTCACTGATCGAAAAATAACCCATAGCCACAGACATCCATAGACCATAATCGACTGACCTACCCGTTGATCTCAATTGGACCAGGGGGATCTCCGTCAAATACACGCCCCCACAGACACCATGAAAGAACTTCATGTTAGCAGGACCACTTGAGGCTGCCCAGGAGGTTCTGCTCCTCGATGCGGCCACTGAGGCTCTGAGCTTTTGCAGCTGCAAGAGGTCTCGAAGCGCCTGGCGGAGCTGCAACAAGAGCTGCTGGGCAGAATGGGGCAACCTAGAATCGCTCGGGTTCAGCATGGGATAGTGGAAGGGATACGAATGAAATGGAATGAGATGGAATGAATCTGTTCATGCTTGGGATCTCTGATTCGGCCTGACCGACTCCGCAACAGACATCACACCGAAAGATCCTGACTGAATCGAAGGAATCTCACCGGGCTGTGCCACCGAACATTAGCTGTGAACATAAATCACAAGTAGCATAAGTAGCATTACAGTATCCAACTGCTCTCTCCCTGTTATGTCTCAGGTTGGTTGAGCAGAGAGATAGCCTTGGTGCTCAGAAAGAGGACGGGCAGATTTCGGAGAAGAACCGTCCATTGATCTGAACCAGGAACGTGCAGCATGCCGATGGTGTGCGATCCAATCTTCACAAAAGTTTACAAAAGTTTGTATGTGGAGCAGCATGGCCGGATTGAACACCAGTTGCAGAGATTTCACCTGTTTGATTGTAGTGGGACATCCTCCATCTAGTCGCACCATCTCGATTATATAAGGCTGTTTGTTTCATCCAAAGACTTTCAATGTCGCTGGTGGTCAACTTGCATCATTTGTATCCTAATTGGAGTAAGGCCGTTGTTGATCTCCAATTTCTGCATATTCTTTAGGGTCGCTGAAAAGGGCGCACCTGCACACCCTGCACTCCCATCACCACCTGAAAAGCAGGAGCTGGCCCAACGAGAGGCCGAACTCAAGGTGTGCCTGGTGGGAGACTGGCAAGCATGGGCGTTCTGGACGATGATCTCAATCTCCCCATGCGGCTTCGAGTCTGTTCATCATGAATGTAGAAGCTAACAGAAAATATATGAAAATATAACAAATACATTCTCACCGTTGGTGAAGTCGAATTGGGCTGACCGTAAGGAGAGGACGACCACGAGATTGACTCGACAGCACATTTGGAATTGAGGGAATCCTGAACCCGTAATTTTGGAAATGAACATTCTCCTCCAACGTTTCAGTGTAGCCTCAGCCAGGCTCAGCAGGAAGCCTTGGAGGCAAAGCCAGTGAACAGGTGCGGGATGCTTCGCCACAAAGAGCTTCAAATCGATGTTCAGCGGTGTTCGCCAGACAGCACGCTGCTGTGGTATGTCATAGGTGGTATGTCATGGTATGTTATGGTATTTGGGGATGTATACTCTCGGACTGAAACTTAGAATGAGATGTATTTGTGTGTGCATTTGCGGGGATGTACTGTGAAAGTCGGCGCTGCCAGGGACTATCCGATCCCCAGTTGGTTGACCAACTCGGCTGGGACTTTGACTCCTTGCTGCAATTCAGGAAGCCATGTTGCAGCTGTGACCAGCTGGTCAGCCAAGGAATGTGGCGGTGGTGGGCAATTCTGGTGTTGGGCTCCTAATTCTAGCTAACCACTCATTCGATAGTCCAGCCAATGCCAGATCAGATGATCTGGATGTGTATGTATTTTTTGCACATGCAGGAAAGAGAGACTCAGCAGGTTTCAGCATTCACGCTTGCTCACCAGCGGGTCATCCACATCTATCCAACCAAATAGCTCCTCCCAGCTAAGTGGGTAAACACATAGAGGCCCTGGTGGTCTCATCTTGGATCATCCGATCCTCATCAATTCAGTGCTGATGACCTGAAACAATTCGTCCGATCAGCCGATCGCATCCTCATCCGATCCCCTTTTTCCCAAGGTGGGGAAGTCCTTGCTGATCAACAAGATGCGACGGCTCAAGCCGGGCTCGGCCACTTGGGCACCCACCGGGGTCAAAGAAACCACCCTCCGCGCGGGGACCCGGCCGGTGTCGCTGTTTGGCGCCATGAGAAGGAGCGAAGTGGTATGCATCTGTGAATCAGAGGGGTGAAGGAGCTAGAAAATCTAAAGTCAGTTGGATTTGCTGAGGGCTGAGGGATTTTGCTCAAGTTGCAGGGACATTTTGCATCCAAATTAGCCGTTCCGGCTAATTTTGATTATTGCTCCCAAAGCTCAAGCGCTTTGCAAGCATTTGGAGCCAGTTGTTCTTCATGGCCTTTTTCCTCATGTGCGTCTCGTGGGTGGCCCATATATGTTCGGAGCTTGGACTCTGAACTGAACCTATGAGGCCCAACATTGTACACCTTTCCTGGCATCGACCGGGTCAGACTGCCAGCAGCTCAGGGGTTGTCGTCGTCCATGAGATGCCGTCGTCGTCCACGTCGTCGACCGTTCCGTGTGTTTTGGAGGTGGGACCTGCCTGGCGCCGGAACACCCGGCTTTCCCAAGGAGCCATTTTTGAGGGAATGCAGTGCAGCATGGGGATTGTCAAATCTACTCACAGATGCTTGCATTATTAAACTTGAAGGTGTCAAAGACGCGCAAAAACGTCTTCTATGGCAATTTTGTGCATTTCATTCACTGCCTTTCCTGGAAAAGGGACATATAGGGAAACACATGAGGTTGCAGAGAGGCTAGCAGCCACGTCCCAAAAATGAATGGAGGACTCCTATTTGCGTGACATGGGCTTGCGATACTTTGACTCTGTCTTGATGCTTGGCCTGATGACTGAACACAGCACTCCCTCCCTTCGCGTAGAGAGAGAGAGAGAGAAACAGGTTGCAGTCAGTGACGTTCAGTGACGTTTTCGCTTTTTCCATGTATATAAGGCATCTAAAACTCATGTAAAAATACAATTATATACATACAATTATATATACAGTTATACACAATATCCCAGGGTGTTCCTGCAAAAGATAGTCACTACTTTGATCTATTTTGGGATATGGTCTTCACTAACCATCATCCGCTGTGACTGACCATTTGCCCAAGCAATACCAACCTCCATGGATCCCTGACGTCACGCCGAGGATCGTCACGGCCAATCGCTTCACATCCACAGAGGTCATCCTGCGAGAGGAGAAGCCTTCAGGGACAGGGTGGACTCTGCAACTATGCAGGTAGTGGCAACGAACACAATGTTAACCCACTCGCAGACATGTAGTAGCATGTCATGTATAATTAGTAATGTGATGTAATGTGTTAGTTGAGGGGCGTTCCCTAGTTTGGAACATTTGGACGTCGCTTGATGATGAGTCGGCATGAGACTTGGGGAATTCGGGACTGTGGTGAAGATGGAGCACAGAATGGTTTTGGAGGACTCTCTTTGTGGAGCTCGGGTTCAGTGATGTGGGGCAGTCAATACACGTCAGTACAAAACACAACATTGACATACAATTGTATCATACGATTATGTCAATGTCTGGTTAGTTGCGGCAACACTAACGGGCTTCCATCATGATATATGCTTCAAATGTTTTCTTGACTGACGCAGCCGTTCAGCCGCAAGCGAATGCAACGTCAGCCCCTGGCCCTCGGTGCTCTGTCAGGGTCCCTAGCATCCCTTGGGTGGCAGTTGCTCGGGGATTTTGGTGGATTAGAGACCTCCTTACGTGATAGGCCTATTTTCGAGTGCCCCATCTGCCCTGGGCTATTCAGTGTAGGAATCGATCCATTTTCGTTGTGCCTTGGCATTCTGATTGGAGTTCTTTTGGTTCCTACGGCAGAAGCGATCTGGCTGATCAGAAGTCTGTGGGTATCTTTTCTGCGAAGGCAAGCTGCTCAACTCAGCCGTGTCACTTGGCCACTTTATCGTGAGACCTGATCGTGCATGCCCACTAGAGCTGCTCAGCTGCGAGTTGAAGAACAAGTGCTTTATCTCCGTGGCAGAGTGCAGGGTCCTGGGTCACGTATCTGGTCTATGCAAGCCAGGTTTCCATCCGACTTTGTGTTAGTGTCTGGTGCAGCTTCTGATTTAGGTGGTTCGCACAGCAAATCACACAAGCCAGTGAAGCCGTTTCTTGTCCATTTGGCCTTCAGGGATTTTGGTGCTCATTTGCTCGATCTCGTTCGCATCCACAAGGACCTTGCTTCGAAAGAGGGCACTTTGGGCCAGTCGATTTCCTTACATCCCTTCAAGACGCCTATTTTTTTGTGAAGTCTTCAGGTGTGTTCTTGTTGGAGGATCTCAGCCAGTATGAGTGAAGAAGTGGCTGATGCCGCAGAGGACTTGGAAGGTGCCAAGTTGGCCCCTAGCGATCTCTCTGTGATCTCATCATCAGGAGAACCAGATTTTGACTACCATCTCATTGCTTTTTGTGTCCCCAACGAGGGCGGAGAGACATTAAAGTTCCTTCGATTGTGGTTTCGGCCGTGACTTCAACCTTGCTTTTGGCGGTTCCCGGCTACGCCTGGAATCGGTTACTTCGAGAGAGAGAGAGAGTGCTTCCGCATCAGTGTCTCTCCAAAGTCAACTCAGTTTCAGCGCTTGCAGCGCTTGATCAGTCTAGGCATACTGCATCAGACGGAGTTTACTGTCGGATTTGGCTTGGGCTTTTGAAACCTCAGTTTGAGCCATGTTTGAACGCCGACGAATTCACCCATCCCATCTTCCCCACAGAGGACGACCAGGAAAGGTATGTGCCTTATGCGCGCAGTCTGGTGGAACTCGCCGACGACTTCTACCATTTCCTCAGCGCAGAGTCTGGTGCTCCTCAACGAGAGCCCAAAGTTTCCCGGCCGGTGGCCCAACCAGATCTGAACCGCAGGATCGACAGCTTGGAGTCTGGGATGCACGAAGTTCTGAAGGTCCTTCAGAACTTGACCGCCCCCGCTCAAGGGACGACAACAAAACCCAGAGACCTCCCCGCTTCTCCGAAGCCTTCTATCTCCCTCAGCCTCGAGATGTTTATCCTGGCTTAGCTCCGCATGTTGTTCAATCTGCTTTAGCCACGGGCGTGACTCCCCAGCAGCTGACCGAGCTTTCTCAGATGGTGGGGAAGCAAAAACCGAAACTTCCCGAGCAAGGCTTAGCAATTCCAAAAGCCAAGAAAGTGGTCAACATCCTGGGCGAGAGCGACGACGAAAACGAAGTCGAAGCAGAACCTTCGGTTCCTCCAGATCCAACGGATCCTGTCAGCGCTTCTCTGGTCAAACTGACTTCCATTGTCGAAGTTCTCGCAGAGCAGAAGAACAAGAAGAAAGGACTCAAGCAGTTGCTGGAATCTTTAGACGATTCAAATCTGCATCAGGATCTCTCCTCTTCATCCTCTTCGAGTTCAAGTCGGAGGCATCCTGGAGTAGTAGCAACTCTGAAGAAAGCCCTCAAAGAGGGCCCCAACGAGTTGTTTTTACTGATGCAAGAAAGGATGCTCGTAGATTTTGGTGTTCCGGAAAACGCTCCAGGGACTGGGTTGATCTCTCCGACTTTTCCATCATGGCTGGAACATCGGTCCCGCATTCCGAACCTAGCTTCTACGGTCAGGATGGCTTGGGCGATCGCCGGAGCATTGGATTTGATGCAGCAGGATTGGTGGGCAGAAGCTCGTTGCAGACTCTTGCTCACCTTAGGTCAGCTCGACCAAGTTGCCAGCAGCAGAGGGATCCCTCGAAGAGCCACCTCCCTTTACTTCATTCAGTCGCCATGCCTTGCCAGATGCCGCAGAGAGCCAGGTTACCAAACTCTGGCCGGTCACTTGGGCAGACAGACGCCTTCATGCATCGTGTAAAGGAGTTGGACGACTTCGCAGAGAAAAGAATGAAATTTGGCAAGAGAGGAAAAGATCCGAACCCCTTGAAGAAACAACAAGAAGATTCCCAAGGAAAGGGAAAAGGTGCCGGGAAGAAGGGCAAGAACAAGAGCAATCAGACTTCAGCGCAGGAGGAGAACGAGTCCGGCGGGAATCCCGCCAACCAGTATTGATCATAAAGAGTTTGACTGGTATAATTTCAGTGCATCATGAGAACAATGCAACTCAGGTTCCAGACGAACCTCCTTTTAGTGCTGGCAAATACTCAGTTCCTGGGAGTAAGGCTTCGACCGTTTGTCCGCGCCGGTGGTGGAATTCATGTTTTCGATTCATCCAGCGCAACAAGACAGATTTTGGATTATTTCTGAAGTCTTTTCATCGTCGTGCTGGCCATCCAGATAGTTCTGTTAGCCCTCTAGACGCCAACTTTTGGCCTATGCCCCTCCCGTTCCCAGCTGTCCTGACTCGCCGAGAAGACAGGCAGGTTGATGATCGAGAAGAGATTAGTTTCAAGAAAGGCATCAACCTTTGTGTAGCTGCTCTAAACTGGCTCCATCTCAGGAGGCCGACCTCCTGTCCTGAAGCTCTTTTGCTGTTTACACCTTTGAAGCCTACTCAATGGCGCGTCGTCAGACAGATCGAGCGGTGCATGTTGGCGTGGAAAGAAATTGATCCTATTACAGCTGAGGACATAGGCAGGTCAGCAGGTAAAGTTGAGAGCATCGAAGGAGCAGTTTCCCAGCTTTCTTTGTTTTTAGATTCCTGGACGGCTGATTTGATTTCCTCCCACTGCTACAGGTCCATGTTCCGCTTCCTCCAGATTCACACCTAGCAATTTTGCTCCGGGACTCCAGAAAGTGTCAGCTGGGGACATCATCGGTCAGTTGACGCACCAAGCAATCGTTGTGGCTAAACCGATCGAAGCTGATAGACTCGAGTTTAAGGGCAGACCAGCTTTTGATCCAGTTCCTTTTATGGATGAGCAATCGAGGGCTATTTTTGAGCGCCCACTTGATCAAGCTCTTCCTTTGTCAGAGACGAACCACCAGATTCCACGTCTCCGTGTTCATGGCACGCGCGCTGAGGTTTGGAAGCTGCTCACCAAGCTTGATGAGTCCGGGCGCCTTGGACTGATTCCGAATGCTGAAGTTCATCGGGGCTTGCAAGCGGGATTATTCTGCGTCCTCAAAGACAGTTCTCGAGACCGCCTGATTTTTGATTCCAGGCCCTTCAACATCTTGGAAACCCCTCCACAGCGCTTCATCAAGGCAATGGGGGCCGGCACCACTTTGACGGAGCTTCAAGTTCCTGCCGACTCCGTTGTTTTGAGCTCTGGAACGGGCGTGAAAAAATTCTATTATATATTCTTGTGAAGTATCTCATCAACGACTTGTTCGAAACTCTTTGTTGTTGACTGCGGTGCCTCATGAAGTTAGTTCTTTTTCTTGTTTTCAAGATAAGTTTTGGGAGAATCTAAGCCGCTGTTTTTGGACTTCGTACCCTTGCGATGGGGGACGCGTGTGCAGTTGAACTGGCACAGACCGCTCGTTGTGGCATCACGGTCCAACTTGGTCTTCTAAATCAAGACACCCTCGTATCCATGTGCTGTCCTCCCCCGAGAGGACCTCTCGGGTGTGGAATATATTGACGACTTGCTGATTTTTAAAGAGATCATCGCCAGGAACTCTCTTCCTCTTGATGGACGGCAGACCTTGTCGGGGCGCTGGATGCAACGAGCTCTGGATAGATATGTTGATCTGGATCTTAGTCCTCATCCTTCAAAGACCTTTATTGGTAGCGAAGAGTCTGAGATTTGGGGCACTCTCCTAGAAGATAACCGTGGCTTTGTGCGAGCTTCTTTGAAGAGAGTCATTCCTAGTCTCTTTGCGACCATAGGTATTTTGAAGATTGGTGTCACGACAGTCAGCCTGTTAGACATTTTGTAGGATTTTGAAGGTGTGTTTTGAAGCGCTTCATCGCCAAGAATCACGTGGAGCCATCATTCGACTTTCACAAGCTTTGAAAGATGAGCTCTTCCTTTGTGCTGCACTTGCCCCATTGGCTGCTACCTGCATTAAGGCATCCAACAGCCCCTGGCTCTATGAAAGCGATGCTTCAGGCTGGGGCTGGGCGGTTGTCAAAGCAGAGCTGCCTCAGTGGCTTCAGTCAGAAGTGCATCGACATCGGTTGACTAAGTCAGTTTGGAGTAGAATGCTTTCACCTCTCAAGACCATTCAAAGACTTAAAGGCATCCTTCCTCCTTCTGATGAACTTCCTGACGGTGTTGTTTTAGCTTCACACCCTCTTCATATTGAGCTGGCTTCTTCTTTGCAATGTCGGTTCGTTTCCACAAAGCCAGGGTTGCGCTGCACATCAATATATCGGAAGTCCGCAGCATGGTCGAAACCGAGAAAGCCGAAGCAAAGAGATCTTTTCCTTCACGCTTTTTCCAACTAAGTGATGTCAAGTCGCTTTGGGTTGTTGGGTTAGAGGTCGTTCCAGTAGTTATGCCATCAACCAAGAGCTTCAACAAAGTCTTCCTTGGCATGTAGGCTGTGGGATGATTTCAAACGCTGGTTATGTTCCAACAGAATTGAATTCAGCTGACGATCCAACGCGTCGTGTCAGAGTCCGAGATGTGGCCAAACCACCATGCAACTGGACGTGGCCGCCCGAGCGCAGAAGTGTAGAAGATACTTTCGAGCTTTTCGACCGGTGGCTTAGAGGATATCAGGCCGATGTACTTACAGTGTCAGGTGTTCCTGGTTTCGACGATTTGAAGCAGAGTTTTGAGGAAGGTTTTGTTTTGAGCTCTTCGCAGGGTTCGAGGGAATTTCTTCAGCGCAATCATCGCGAGTGTTTGAAGAGACGACAGTCGAAGGCATCACAGGTCCTTCCCCTTCGACCAATGGTGGAGTCCTCTGTACAGGGGAACAAGCCCGAATTAAGTGCAAACATTGATGAATCCCTTGAGCAAGTGGGCAACGCAGATTTTCTTGATTTTGAGTCTCCACTGTGAGTTTCTCTGACCAAGGCTGCGTAGGAGCTTTTGTGCAGATTCCCAAGAAGTCGGTTTTTGATTCCTCGTTCAGCGGGCCGGAATCCTGGCTGGTGACCTCAAAGACGGGGGTATTTAGGCCTATATTCTGGTCAAGGAGTAGCAAAAAGTCTAGTTGACTATGGACTATGCTGGGCTCTCACTTTTGAGATTGAAGACGGTTTGGACCAAGATCTTTCAGTACAATCCACCAGGAAAATGACTTATTGATTTGATCCGAGCTAAACCTTTCTTTGGAGTAGGGTCAGCCTTGTTTTCTTATTCTTTCTCAAGGGCCGTCCGACCTCCAGTATGGTCACGAGCTGAACCCAGAGGCTTTGTTGTTTTGTTAGCTAACATGGAGCAGCGAATACATGACAACAACAGCCATTCGAAGTTTTGCGCAGATGTGGTCACTGAATTACTGGGCATTCGCCACTGGGCTGAGAATCCTGATTCAAGTTTTCTCTGGCTTCAACCTGAGTGGCAAGCTCTTGGGGCTGGGGATTTGTCGAAGAGTTTCAGACTGGACTACTGCAGACTGAATTAACCATGGAGAAAGAGAACGAATCTTCACAGACCTTCATCTCCAAGGTCAGAGCTTGTTTTGCAGTAGAGATCACAGGCATGTCAGACTATATAGTTGGATGGTCCAAGAAATACAAGACCCCAAAACACGTGTTGCACAGGTCTATCCCAAACGACTGTGTTTGTGGCTAGCGACAGCAATGCTGATCGACTCTGGTCTTTTGCCCGAAAGGAAAAAGCTGGACGTTTCTGCAGCCGCCCGAGCGCAGCATAAGCGAATAGGAGAAGCGAAGACACCAGGTCCTAGACGAAAGAAGTCTACTGTCAGAAGTGCATCTACACTCGATGAGGTTCTCTTGGTCGAAACATCCACTGAAGAGCTTGGTTTCAGAGTTTGGCAGTGGGGCCAATCGCATTTGGATGTCGAGACTTTTGAATCTTTGAGTGGATGCCTGTTCACTCTACCTCTCCTGCTACATCTTTTGGACGCTGTAATGTCAGCGCGGTGACTCCATTTATCTTCTCCGACAGATCCTCACCTATGAGACCTGAGATTCGACCGCATCTTGGCATGGTTTGGCAACTAGTAAGTAAGTGGGAACTCCAAGAACCTGTTTCGCACCGGGTCCCCCTCCCTGCTGCCATTTACAGAGCCATGGTTTCTCTCAGCATCCTGTGGTCCTGGTTCCATGTGGCAGGAATTTTAGTTCTTGCTTTTGAAGGCATTTGCAGGCCTGGCGAAACTTTGAGAGCGAGCAGATGTGATCTTTTGTTGCCTTGCGACCTCCCAAATTAAGATCACACCACTGTTTTCTTAAAAATCCTGAACCCAAAGGGAAAGCGCAGAGGCATTGGAAGTGTTCAACACGCAAAAATTTGCGGCCTTGACTTCGCACTTTTCCTGGAGTATGTTTTTGGGGGATTGAAATCTGAAGATCCTTAGCTTTTAGGTTCTCCAGGCATGTTCAGAAGACGGTGGGATTTGCTCTTGAGAGCTCTTGACATTCCTTGTGCAGTTGGTCTTACTCCAGCCTCATTGAGAGCTGGGGGAGCTGTCAAGTCTTACAGATCAGACACTCCGATTCAGAACCTGACGTGGGACATACGGTTGAAGAATGTATATACCCTGCAGCACTATCTGCAGCAAGCCGAAGCTTTGAGTATTTTCCCTCAACTCCCCTATTCTTCTCAATGCCAAATTCGTAAATGTTCTGCCCTGTTTGATCAGCTGATTCGAGAGCACAGGGCCACCCTGGCTGACAGTTATTAGATGGGGACGCGACACATCTCCTTCGCCTTGCTTGGCGCTGTGTCTGGTCCCTTCCAATAGGCGGATGTGTTGGCTTTGCTTGGAAGACGACTGCAGCGCTTGACTTCTTTTTTCAACACTTGGATGCAGTTCCTCCTTCACTACGCCAACCTGCTCGCTCGCCTTTTGTTGTGACAGTTAGACCAGACAGAAGCCTGGATGTAACAAGTTCAGAGCTGCAGAAGGAGAGCAAACATGCTTCAAATGTTTTCTTGACTGACGCAGCCGTTCAGCCGCTCCCCCGCGGCCACCCTGGATGTGTTGGCTTTGCTTGGAAGACGACTGCAGTGCTTGACTTCTTTTTTTCAACACTTGGATGCAGTTCCTCCTTCACTATGCAGTTCCTCCTTCACTACGCCAACCTGCTCGCTCGCATTTCGTTGTGACAGTTAGACCAGACAGAAGCCTGGATGGAAAAAGTTCAGAGCTGCAGAAGGAGAGCAAAAATGTATATATATATCTTTATATAGTTCTATAACAGCACCCTCCAACAGGTCACCAGTTGACACCTGTCAGGGCCTAACAACCCTCCAAAGGAGACGTCTTGGAGGGTGTAAGTGATAGATATATGTATTTGTGTGTGTGAGTGGGTGCGATTAACTATTGTCAAGTGACAACTCTTAAAGATTCACAACAGCTCTTTGTCACTGTCTGTCACTTGAGTCGAGGAGCTTGAGAAATACGATGTGCCTTATTTCATGGCGCGGGCCTAGGGACTAGCAGCAAGAGGGATTGACGTAGCCAGGAAGCATATACTTCCTGGCATGGTTGGGCGGTTGCTCACGGCCTGTTCAGGAACCATACCCACATGCACATGACCACGTGCCGAGGTTAGAACGAAGATTGACCTCGATGTGTGGAATAATAAGGAGGATAACCGAGTGGAGGAGGCACGTTGAACTCGTTGAATTCGAGTTTATCGACCCTGGAGCCTCCCTAACGGTCAGGCCGTTACTCTGAAGAACATCCGAGATGAGCTTGCTTGCCATGGCGCCAGGGTCCCTGGTGGAGCCCACATCAATGAGCTCACGATACTTCCAGCAGAGGATTCACTGAATTTGTTGAGTTGACCATTATATACAAGTCACCGAGGTCAATCGCGTCTACTTGGTCTCCTCGCGCGAGCCCGACCGTTGGGCAGCCTGGTGACCAGTGAGACAGTGACCTTCAAATCGACGCGGACGTTGGATGTGGAGAGTACTGTCACGAAGGTCATGCCTCGGCCCCTTCTGTCAGGTTGAAACTCCTTATGACTCTGTGCATGATTAATCTAGTCCCGACGGCGCGGGTCCGGTCGATGCAATTTGAGGTTATGACATGCCCGCGCTCTTGGCCGATGCTTTCCCTGGTGTACGGGATTTCCTGGATGCTAGCAGCTTCCTCTTCACAGGAGGTGGGTTCGTGATGATTCGTGCATATAGGACTGTAGCTCAAAGGCATGGACCTTTCTGTCAGAGACATTTCCACAGCTTTGTAGAAAAACTAGACCATGTCTTTGAATGGCCTCCTGCGCAACATACATGCCACCCCTTGCACACGTGTTGTCGCCTGTGATTCTACAGATTGACATGTCAAGCGCCCCGCAGGCGAGTCAGATGGTTGGGGGGAATCATGGTCAATGCCAGTTTTGTGGTTTGAACCTGAGCAAGCCAATTCTGAAGACCCGATACCATCCCAGAAGTTCACATTCGGACTATTGGCACTCAGGTCTGCCATCATTGCAGGCCTGGAAAACATTTTTTGCATTGATCCATGTTTTGACGCTTCCGGGTTTCTTCGTGGTTTCGGTTCGGCTACGTCGCCACTTTGCGTCAGGAATACAAGGACAATGGCGCGATGCCTTGGAAGATCTGCCCCTAAGCTTGAGGGAAAGCGGGAAAACACTGGTAAATGATGATTTAAGGCGGTGGCTTACGCGCCTGTTGCTATATAGTGTGACAGAGTCATGCTGGATCAGGTCCACTAACGGGGGTCAGCGGCCACCCCAAACCCAATTTTGAGCTCAATGGAAGACTTGGGAGGGCGGGGAATGCTGTCAATGTGTGTCAGTGAGTGTCAGGAATCCAAGCCTATTCAACGAGATATCTATTCATTTGATAGCTTATTAGACCCTTGCGGAGGCTCTACGTGGTGGACGGCACGGACGTTCACATCACGCGTGAGAGCGATGGTCAAACCGCCTCCATTGCTCTCACAGAGCATGATGACAAGGTGCGCCTGGAGGGGTTTCAGATCTTTGAACTGCCGGAAGCTGGGTGTTTTTGAGCCAGACCGGGGTGTTTTTGGGGCACACGGGGGGGGGGGGCACAGAGTGGCGCCGTTACCGGGATTCTCCCCTTCTGTGTGCGCCCTGAAGCTTGAGTACAGTAAAGGATTAAAAAGAATATACAGGAGATCGCGGAGAATGTGCTGAAGATAGATGACGAGTGAAATCCAGTGAGGTTCTTTTCTTTCTCGGCTTTCGCTCTCAGCCCGCTAGGGTTGTATATATAGTTTCAAGACCTTCCATTTGCATGTGCCCATGCAGTGTATTAGCGAAAGCCTTCCACTTCCTTCTCTTCGCTGGGCGGCATGGCATCAGTGGCCACTTGCCGTGTCCGTTCCTACTTTGCTGACTCAATGCCTGCCTGACACCGACACAGGTGTGGTTGCAAGAGACCTGGTATATCGACATGGCGTTCCTGACTCAGTTGTTATTTTGTTGCAGGACGCCATGTTGGCCACCTGTGGTCAGGACGCACCCAACCGAATAGGCTAGCGGCTAACGATTCAACAACTTCTATCTAATTACAGTGACTTTGCACCCTCACCATCATGGTTCTCATTATATAATAGCCTTCAATTTCCGCCCCTGTCATTGACATAAAGATAGAAAACATCTATTCTATACAGGATGCATATTCCATGAGCCCCCACCAAGTCACAGACTTGTGTCGCCCAGGTCCGTGGGCAAGGCGCGGGAAAGCACCGAGCTCCGATGGATCCCAACGGCGACTTGGCCGCGGTTCACGCGGTTGGCTCGTGGGTTTAGACGGTGGATCGTACACGAACCTCGAATCATGCAGAATGATGCAGAAGAGAAGGGTGCTGCCTGACCACTAAGTCACTTGAGAGATGGGGTGCCTGAAGGCCAAATCCTTTTGACTAGGGCCTAAGCATGCTTAAGTTTTCATTTGCAACTGACTCTTTGGTCTGAGGACATCTCGAACAAACCTCGGGTTTGGAGATGGTGCGGATGAGACACCCTGCAATGTGCAGTTCAGGCTCAGCACAGAAGTTGCATCGAGTCTGTTGCAGGACAAGCCAGAAACTTCTGGTTTGGTGTGTTGAATGCGTGTCAGCTCTTCTGCAGCAGCTTTATTTGCAGAAATTGAAAAAAGGGTGGGTGATGTTGAACCCATGCATGAGTACTGTACTGGGCTTGCATAGAGATGCCCTTTTGAGCATTTTTGTGAGTAGTACTCAAAACTGAGGCCAGCCGGTTGCCAAAGGCAGCAGATGGCCTTTGTACATAGAAGCAGCCCGCTTGGGCTTTTATACACCTTCCACGTCCACGTGACTGGATTTCTGCTGGTCCGTGAGCAAAAAGTGGGGGAAGATGGGTTCAGATGGTCCCAGGTGCCATGGAAGACTTGGGCAAGAGGGCGGCGCAGGGGCAATCCTGCCCTGCACAGCCTTGACGCAGGCCAAGCCTTTGCTGGATGAAGCTCGGGATTATCTGGAAAGCCCGCAGCTCTTGCAGGCGTTGAGGCCGCAGCGAGGGGGCGACAGGGCCAAAAACATCGCAGAACTCCACCTTCAAGATACGAAGGTGTGGGGAATTTGAGGGAGACACATGCCCCAAGCGTACCTGTTGCACATGCACTCTGAGGCTGAACGCAACAGGTGGCAGAAAAAATAGAGTAGATTGAACTTCCTCCTCAGTCTACTTACCCATGGACCATGGACATTCAGTACTATCTCATCGACGACTTACTGTCAATATTTTCCAATTCAAGAATCATTCTTCCCCGGTTCTTTTCAACAAATATTCTTTTGATGTGTTATTTCTTCAAGTTCCCTTTACATCGCATATGTGTTGATTTTTGTTTGTCATGTCTTATTTCCCAAACCGTGGGGTTTGTGACGTCCGCCCGCGGACCGCGTCGCGGACCGCGTCGCGGACCGCGTGTCGGGGACCGCAGATCGGTGACCTCAGCGGCCGCCGAGCGATTGCCCTTCGATCTGGGAAAGGCCACCAACAAGGCATGACATTCCGAAGGTTATGGTCCTCGTCTGGTGTCACAATGAGAGGTTGGACGGACTGAACTAGGTGGGGTATAATGTTGCTAGAATTATTCTACTTGTTATATTGTTTCGAAGGCCGGGACGGATAAGACCCCCGACAGAATCAGAGATATGAGAAGATGTGGTACAGTACGCAGATGTTGCCCTCTCAGCCACGTTTTATCTAATGCTAATAGGTTGGAGGCCATCGCTTTTAGGTTGGAGGCCATCGCTGCATGCTGCATGCATAATTTAAATGCCTGCATGGTGCTGTAGAATGTCAATGCCTTCCGCTCGGCCAGGCTGAAGCGCTCAAGGACTGGAAGATGTAATGTCGCCGTATGAGCTTCGTGTGGGTGTCTCTTGGTCAACTTATCGCCTTCACTGAAGTCTGTTCATCACATTGTATCACTTTAAGTGTCATGATGTAGTAACCTCATTATCGACAACCTCCTTTCTGACTGGATGATCATTATGCCCAAGGGCTTCAATGTTTCAATCTGAGCACGTAGTGGTTTTGCTGGGGACGATTCTGGCAAGACGCATGTGTGATTTAGCTGTAGCTTCCCTGCTCCAAGCCATACAAGTACTTTTGCTTCATGATTCTTGATGCTTCCACTGATCAATCTGCCACGTTCGGGGTCATAGGAGGGAACTGTCCCACTGGCTGCTCTTTTCGGTGGCTGCATCTCGTTGGCGAAAGAGGTCTTGCAGGAGAGCTCCTGTCCCTTGTGCCTTGGGGATTTGAGCTGTTCTGGGGATGATGCGGTTTCTTTCTGCCTTTTATGGCAAGGCAAATGCCAGATTGGGCCATGACGTCGGTTATTTTTTCTCAGTGCCTCCGCAGACGTCAGTTCAACTCTCCATCCTGATGAGAGTTGCATCACTCAGTCGCATCACTCAGTCTCCCGGGCAAGGACTCAACTTGCACAGAGGCCTGGGAGAGTCTACGGGCGATGTGGATATTGTGTGCTAAGAGGCAGCTGGGTGCTGCCGCAACCCTCCACCTGCATGCATGTTTGTTTCTCACAACTTCGTATACCGCCGAATTGTTGTAAAATGACACAGGGCGGTTCTGAGTGTGTAAAACGGATGTCTTGTAGCTGATTCCCGGTTTCGGCACACATCAACAGCGTTAAACTACCAGACTCGTGGAATACAGTTACTAAGTGTTTGAGCAAAGCGAGCTCTTGTTTTTGGCAAACCCTGCAATCTCCTGCATGCGGCCCTTGTGCCTCAAGAGCTTACAAAGACGATATCGAAATCAGGTCTTACCTGGTGCCCGAAAATGACCAACATGCATCCAAATGTCAACTTTCAACACCAGAAAGAGTAGGATGAGTAGGTCGCCTGGGCCAAATGGCCGCCACAGGGTTTGGGCGCCCACACGCCAGGCCTTCATCCAAGCCTTTGCTGATCAGACCGTGAGGGACCTTGGAGAGCCACGAAGGACTTTCTTGAACAACCCCCACCCTGCAACTCTTGTGGGAGCTCCTCCTTGTAGCTGGAGATGATATATCCGTGTACCATCTGCGGTTTTGGTGGTCAGGGTGTTGCTTGGTCAGGTGATCAGCCAATTTTGCGAAGCGCTCTACTTCCAAGAGACGAAATGATGCACGGTGAGTGCTGGCGACCTGAGGGACAGTGTAGGGACAGGTCGTAGGACCTGTCGACCTGAGTGGTGACATTTGGGAGTGACCGTTTGGTCTCCAGAACGCCCGCGCGTTGTTCGTTTCATAGCAGGCGTTGTTGTACAAACAGGGGTTGTGGTTTCGTGGAGGAACAGCTGCTTTGGCCTCAGGCGAGAAACCGAGCAGGATTTGGGGTGCCACAGTCCCCACTGCCCATCCTCACTGTTCAGATGGTTAGCCGTTTAGCCGCGATGGTGAGCTCCCAAGTTGTCCCCCAAGTCTGTGAGCCACTCGTTTCGTCCGCCTGCGTGGCGTCTGTGATGCTCACCAAGTGTGGATGCTCCCAACGCCACGCCGGTGGCAGGAACTTTTTAAGGCGATTCGGAAGGGACACAGTTTCCCCGGCTCAAGCAGAAGCGTTCCGTTGTGCAGACTGCAGTCAGATCTACTCAGTGCTTACCATGTTGCTTTGCAGTTTGACCCTCTTGTCTGCGCAGAAGTTGCGTTGGGCAAAGAGTAGCGCAGAAGTTCGACACAAAAAGATGCCGCCACCGCAAGTAGGTGAGAGGCCATCGCGACGAACGGAACAAGAAGCTACTAGCAACATTTAGTAACAATGGAGTATTGTAGGCTCAGGGACCGCCTCGGTGGCTTGAGTGGTCTTTTGTGGCTGATCTCTGAGGTCGTGGTCTTCACGGCCTCTGCAGCCATCTATGCGGACAAAGTGCTCGACGGGCTGGATCCAGGCGGATTGGACATAGAGAGGTGGAGTGGCAAAGGCATGGTTCAGTGGGAGAATCCCAAAATGAAAGCTATCGAAGTAGCTGTAGATCACTGAGTCCGAGAGAGATCTTAAATTCATTTGATTCCCCTTCCGCATTCCACTCGGTGGCGTCCATTCCCTTCGCGGAGCACGTCTGACATGCTACATCAGTTCATGTGCACTTCTTGTGCCATGGAACTTGTCCCAACACCTCTTGTCCCCGATGCCGGACGGTCAGGACGCAAGCTGATCGCACACCGCCTCTACCGAGAGGTGCCGGGCAAACGACCGGGAACACCTCTGTTGGACCAAGCAGGACCTAACAAGAGGGACCCGTGTGTCTCTCCCAGCTCAGGTTCTTCTCTTTCAAATAGCTGTGCCTCCACCAATGCCAGAAGGGACATGTTGACAAATTATATGCGGAAACATGTCTTATTTGGAGAGGTCCTCATATACAAGCCATCTCAGAACCCACTTTCTCCGCGTGCGCGTTTCGCTCAGCAAGGCTTGCTCAGAGCTCGCGGGAGGCCATTTCAAGGCTTGAGGGGTTGTGTTTTTCACTGAATGTAATAGGGTGGATGTATGTGGATGGCAGGATATCCAAGTTTAGTTTCAACTTTCCAGTTTGTTTGTTCCGTTTGTGCCCGCTGCCGTTGACGCCTGTGGCGGCTTCTGCTTGCTTGCCAGGACTTGCGCCGCCTCGGGAGGCCTTTGGATGCGAAGAGCCCAGCGTGCGAGGAGGCATTGGACGAAGACTCTTTGGGCCTCATCACTGTAGTTATCCTAAATTTATCTTGGTTTTGAGAAAGGATCCTTAGCCAAGCAGTTTGACATTGAGACGGCTTCTGTAAAGGTGGAGTGGCCCATGACAGCCGAGCTGAGGATTTACTCTTGGTGGACAACTCCCCATTGGCACTAGGCCTTCTTCCAGAGAATGGGATGTTGGCCTTGCTGGCTCGTCCTTCCAGTGTCTTTGCTAGCGTTTGAGTGGGTATAAGCGGTATAAGGGGTGGTCAGATGCGGTCAGTGGGTCTTCTCTTTCGAGATGCATGCCGATGTGCCGCCAGATCACCAGCTGGTACGGGGACGACGAGAAGGACATGACAGTTGCGGCGGTTGAGGTGATGTGCTTCTGTGTGCACATGCCATTGAACAGAGTATATAGATGCTCCGGTCGGGTCATCTGGGAAAAGAACTGAGGCGGCTTGAGCTATCTCGGGGAGCGGGAGAGCGAGAGAAAGAGAGGGAGGGAGGGCGGGCGGGCGGGAGGGAGGGAGGGAGGGAGGGAGAGATCAAGAACCTTGCAGGCCTCGTGACTTGTGGGAACTTGTGGGAAGTTCCCATCCCCGAAGCCCTTATCAGCTCAAAATCCATGAGAGTGCTGGCTATGCAGACCCGAACTTTGAACAATTTCGCACCACCTGTACAGTTTACATCAACATGTTGAACAATGTTCCGGCATATTTGGTCAGACCCTGCCTGTTCAAGGTTGATCTTCAATAAATCTGGAGCCCCCCGACTGGCTTGTGTTCCTTATTTGGGAGTCACGCCCCCCGCAGTCACGCTGCCGGCCACCAATGGCCCGGCTCCACTGGCTTGATTCTGCGGGGGCCCGCTTTCTGGATCCTGAGGCGGTGGGAGACGAGTGGGGAAGGGTGCTGGGCTCACGAAGTCAGTTGAGGGTGAGACATTTGCCACATAGAAGGCCTTTTACCATTGGTTTGGTTGGCTTATAGAGGGGATACAACAAGGTGTACAACCAAGGGGTATATGGTACCAAATCGACCCTTCTATTATTCCCAAGAGGGCAGTTGGAGATTCTATACACACCATGCAGAAGGTTCAACACATTTTCCCACCTTTATATCCTTTATGCACACAAATATGCACATTGTATTCAAATACACTTGCTGCAGTGAGGACCCTTTAAACTTCCAAAACAGGGAGAGTCGAAATGCCCTTTCAAGATGCATTTGGACTATTCGGTTTCTATCGAGTTTGTGAGCAGAAGCTCATTTTCCTCATCTAAACTGGGCCCAGGCCTTTGTGGCTGAGCTCACCCGCCAGAGCTTCGCGGTGTGCGCTGTGCCCCTTTGGCGTGCGGCCCCTGTGGTGGCAGAGCTCGACCGGGCGACGCCACGCGGTTCAAGTGGCCACAGCGGAGGCTTCGTGTGGAGCTTCAAACGGCAAGGAGAGCTGAAGGACGGGTGGAGCTTTGGGAAAGCACAAGGAGTGGTAGATGATCACTTCAGGGGTAGGTGACCGGCAGTGGTCACTCCAGTTTTGCTACTTTGAGTTGCCTTTACTTTGTCTTTCTTCTTTACGGCGAAGCTTTAATTATCGTCTTATGCCAGGTCAGCTTGGCTTCGGTCTTCTTGTGCGCAGGAAAGGACGCAGGTTCGGCGCACGAGCCTGGAAGCTGCCGATCCAAATGACTTTATGCTGTGCTCCTTTGAAGTCATGGTTGCCTGCCTGCCTTCAGTTGCGATCAAAGGCAAACATCGCCGACATCGCCTTGGGCCATCGGTCGGAAAGGCAAAACATGCCCAGTCGGGGGGTTTTCACCGCTTGACCGCTTGACCTTATCTATATATATATATAATGTCCATTGGGCGCTTTTTTGGACAAGTTTCCCGACTGAACATGCAGGCAGCTCACTCAGTCCAGGCTTTAGCTCAAACGGAAGGCCTCCAAAAATGACTCTTATTCCAAATCAGCGAAGGTACTTCAGTGGTATGGGCCGGGGATGCGGTTTAGGGGTTAGGCTACGTTAGGCTTCCCTGCACCCCTAGGAAAGCCTCGCGGAAGTGGCCATGGAAGCCTGGTGTGCATCGCAAGGGCTTCCAGTGGCAACCGCCAAGCAGAAGTTTGGGGATCTCTCGTTTGGCAACTCCCAGGAGGTGTCGTTGTTGAAGGGAAAACGTCCAGGTTGTTGGCCTCCACATTGGCTGTGTTCGATGGCGGCCACAGAAAACCCCAAATCCTCGTTGTAAGACGTTCGATCGAAATTCGGCAGGAGGGGAAGGGGAAGTCCGTCTTGAACCTCTACCACTACTTCAATCTGGAGACCTGTGATGAGGAGCCCTGCCGCTCTCACGCAGATCCTGGGCTTCTCACCGTTCTGTGCCGCTCCACCGAGCCTGGGCTACAGGCCCTGCACCCGCTGAAGCCCGGTGGGGCGCCAGGGCAGCCAGCGGCCTATGAGGACAGCTGGTGCGACCTGGAGCCGATGATGGATGCTTTGGGCCAAGGAGACCTGGGGAATCCTGAAAATATGGGCATGCTTTGAGGGTTTGACACCTGACCTGGCCGGTGTTTAAAAAGAAAAGGGGGCCACAGCAGCAAATCAGAACACATGGTGGGAAAGGAAGATTCAAGCACTCACTTGCAGAGGAGAGGAGCCCCATGTGCCCTTCTTGATTTTGGTGGGTGAAACTCTGGAACGTCTCAGTGGTGGCTGGCATCCAGCATGTCTCCATCGTGTGCAGCCCAGTGTGGTGCCAAACCGGCCGCGCTTCAATATGGCATTTGAGCTCCGACCACGGTGTAACGTTTGGCATCCCTGGTCCGAGCTGGCCAAGGAGCAAGATCCCAATGAAGAGAAACAGCGCAGAGGAATGGTAGATGAGAGGTGAAGCTAGCGAATGTGCCGTTCAGTCTTGTAGAGATGCTCATGATGGTCAATGTGTTTGTCAGTTTCAGAAGATGCGGGACTGTCAAAAAAAGCCGCACGGAGGCCCGCAATGTCTTTGGACCAAGCTAGGGCTGGTCAAAACCGGTGCATGCACCATGCAAGTCATGGTTGCAATGCGGCCCACGATGTACAGCCTGCGACAGGTGCGAAAAATGTCTTGGACTTTGGTGCAGAGCAGTGGTCGGGTGAGAGGCATGTCCTCATGACGGCGGCGAGCAAGTTGCCAGGTGTACTATAGAACAGCAACACCCGCTAATCCATTTCCAATCCTACCCCTTGTGGTTTCAGATGCAACCATGTTCATGGAGACTTTCAGCGACCATCAACCCTCCAAATCTGATTCCATTGACATCCATTGACCAAGTATTTGAGCAGAGTGTTCCGCTCGTATTGACTTCGATTGCTGTCGCAGCATCATGTTCCGTCGTGGGGTAACAGTATATAAACATCTATTCTATTATATAAACGGTCTCATGACGGTCCAAATTCCCTAACTTTGGGACTTCTGCATTTCAATGATAGGAAGAACTGACATGGAAGGATTTAAAACGCACCGTTGCCATGAACGCTTGGCTGCCACAATCCAGTGAATCCCCTTACGGTCACTTTTCGGACACCTCTAGCTGAAGACTTCGACCTCAATAATCCGATAGGCCACGGTTTGATCGAAGCCTTAAGCGGGGGTCTATGCTGGTTCCACTCCCAGGTCTCATGCTGGTTTCGGACTTGGGGGGGCGGGCTGTCCAGCCTTGGGTCGCAGGTCGCAGGCGCCGGTAGGTGTCAAGCCTTCGGTGCTCAGGACACCGAGCTTTCGGTGCTCATGGGCATGCTGGCGCAGGCGATCGGCCCCAAGCAGGGCTGCATGACGGCAGAGGGAATGAGCTAAGGATGGTACCTGGGAAGGGGTCGTCAGAAGAATTGAGTTGTCATGTTGGCGCTGGTGTGTGTCCAAACCAACGCTCCAAGCAGAAACTTCTTACTTAGTTGGCTTGGATCTTGCATGCGCATCTTCCATGCATTTGCTGACTGTGTCATACACTGATATATGCATGATATGCTTATATAATTCATCTTAACGTGGTGGTGACTCGCCTTCGGATGCTGCTGGTGTTGAGGGTCCAAGGTGGTCATGCCTCAAGTGCATCATGAATTGTCTTCAGTGAAACTGTGAGACGACGAACACAGCGGGTGGATCTCGGAATCTCCACGCCTAACTAGACCTACCTGTTTTCTCTCTTCAGCAAACTGACAAAGAGACATTCTGGCAGCCCTGGCATTTCTCCAGCCTCGGCCTGCCTTTCTTTCACCGCCCGGCTTTGGTGCGTGGCTCGTAGCTTGCGGGCGCCTTGAGCGCGTGTAGAGGGGCCACGCGGGCCTTCCAGCGGCAGGTGGGGGATGACAGAGAGAGGAGATCTGAGTTAGACCAGATCCAGCCTTAGATCAAAGGAGACCTGGCCTTAGATCAGGGGAACATGCTAAGAGTTTGACCTAAGGCCAGGTCCTACCTTCCATTCGCCCACACAAAAAACGTGCAGGTGGCGCTGGCGTGAGCCGCACCATGGCCGTGTGTCTTGTACTGCAGATGTGACCGCAGATAGATCTCCAGATATTTGAAACACCTATACTCTCGACTAGTGACAAAGGAGTTGTAAAACGTATGGTGGGTTTTACAACTCCTATGTCATGGACTTTAAAGTAGAGAAACACATCAACACATGGTCACACAAGAATAGCTTTAAAAAACAGAAAGCTGCCTGAAAAGATGAATAAATGACGTGAGATAGGAGTTGTAAGTACCAGGAGGCATGATGAAACATGATGAGCAGGCCGATTCTTATGTCATTTGTTCTGTGTGCATCAATTCCCCTCCCTCCCTGAAAAAAAAATAGAACTGCTTGGTCATCAGCTGGCGACAATTCCCAAGTCATGAGGCTTGAATCAGCAACTCTGTAATTTTTGTGTTCCCAATGACTTAGGGGTAGTGGGCCACAACTACTATGTCACTGGCCCACACAAGTCCTAAGTCACCGGTCGGTAGTATAAGCCACTTCGAGTCAAAAGTCCAAAGTGATGGAATATTGAGGTTTGGCATAGGTGCAGCCACAGGCCGCCAAGTCTTGGTGTTTATGTAATTTGCTTGTTTCCTCGGGTGCTGAGGGAGAAGCGCTGGCGAAGATGGCTCATGTTCCTATGTAGCCTCCTCCTCCTTTTAGAGCCCAGATCTTGGATCCGGAGCAAGACCATTTGGCTGATTGGTGCTTCTTGTGATGCAGAATGCTACGTATGAGATTATATAGATGCCCCCACAACATTCCCCCATCATGTGTTGAAGTTGTTACTCCCTTCGCTATTACATACAGTGAAAGAGATTAGATTGCTTTATTTGAACGAGGCAGGGTTATGTGGGTATAGACTCCCTAGAAGACCATGTGGTATTGACTGGCACAGCTACAACAGCTACATGCTCATGAACTGAATTTAGTGAGGACCTCCCCCACGTCGCTTCAATGCTGATGGAATCATTGCTTTGGGGATCCTCCTTTTTCAGATCCAAGTCACACATCGCCGCACGCGGTTTCTCAGTCACTAAGACCTTGGTCCTGGAGAACGGACTCCAAGGCTGGCCTGGCAGTATGACCTTCTAACCTGGGAGCCCAGATGCTCCGTCCTCGGAGTCAGAATCTGACTGGACATGATCTAACTTGTGGAGATCATGCCCTGCAGGCACCGGACCAGAGCAGGCCGAGTGTCGTCCTTTTTGACTTGGTGGATGGAGGGGGTGCTTCATCCTTGAGTCCATTAGGCATAAAGCGATGTTAACGGATGTTCGATTCTTGCAGTCGGTGGGGCACGTTGAATCTAAGGGCTTCTCTTGCCATCCCGATCACGTGCGACCGTGCTGGCTTAGGGCACATCATGGCGAATCTGAACGAACAGATGCCAATCCGTGCGAGACATGCCACCGTTCGTGAACGTTCGGCTGATCCATTCCCCGGTCACTGGCGTCGTTCGCACTCTGACAGGGTCGCCTTTGCCTTCAGAGGCCAAGCTCAAACTCAGGAGGGGCGTGGCGTGGAGGGGTGTTATTTGGAAGGAACAACTTGGGGTGAAGCTCTGACAAGCTCAGATGCTTGGAGAGCCCTGGAATCGGGATCAACACCCTGCCCAAGGCAGCACCGGAGAGATTTTTTGCTGGATGCAGTGGACAATGCTTGAGACTTTCCCATGTCAATCCTTTCAAGAGCCCTTTATCATCCTTTATCCACTCCTTGGCAGCTTGACGTATGTCCCGAAAAAGAGCTAGAATCGGGGTGAAGATGAGTGAAGGAGCCAAAGAAGGACGAGGTTGATGAGGTTGACGAGGACATAGGCCATTATGCCTATTCCTTGAATAAGGATGGGCCAGAGCCTCAGGTCAAAGATGATTTACGCGACGCAGAATCACCGCCATGCAGACCTTTGTGTTTTTCCTTTTTTGCGGCGCTAGGATCCTCCAACAAGTCAGTGCTAGAGATATATATATATATAACGTTTTGGATCTTCAAAAGGATGGACCGAAGGACTTCGATGGACATCGATGGAAATCTGGTCTCCCTAGCATCGTTCCAATTAGCTGAGGCCATTGGGTTGGCTTCATTACGTCCAGGTCCCAGTCATGCGGTGCGACAATACCAGGGTACCAGGCACCACTGACCTGTTTTTTTTTGGCCAAGCAGGTAGGCCAGAACAGGCGGTTTCATTGATCATGATTTTTGATCCTGCGGACCTTGGCCTCCGCATAGCATCATATACCATCCCATCAAGCTGCTTTTTGTGAGGATGTCATTCTGGCGTCACGAACTTCTTATCCGTTGGCCCTAATGGCACGGGGCTCAGTGGGCCACAACTAGGGCCCACAAAGCGAGAAATCTTCAGCTGCGAGTGCGTGTGAAAGTCCAGAGCGGTGAAAGTCCATGACCTCTCGGGCCCCGTAGAAGAAAGACACACCCCCACCCCACCCCCTTCTCGTTCGCTTACACAAAAAGCCGCACGGCACCCGGTGGATTGCACTCGGTGGTGCAGCCGAGATCGGCTTCACGTGCTATGGCAACGTGATCTTGCGTTTCGGAGCTCAGAGGGCGACTCTGACTCATCTGGCAGTTGGCCTCCAACTCATACATGGGTCCATGTTCTTTCATGTCATGGATGACTTTGATCGGTGCAGACAGAGGTTCCTTTCTCAATGGGGGCAGATATCGATGTGTTTCATGCACTGGAGGTCGCGCGGATAGAGTTTCCGGCGGACAGACACCCGAAACATCTTCAATCCCATGGATTTTCCGGAAAACTTGGAAGATGCAAGCCAGCGTCCTGAGGCAAAGAGAGTGGGGACAAGTCGCAGACCAAGAGAAAGAGAGAGAGAGAGAGACATTCAGCAGAATACTCCCGTGGTAATGGAATAATAATGCACTTCTCGGCTCGGTATTTACAGGGCATCAGAACCATATGCCATATGCACTCCCTGGAACTAAAATCCAAGGAGCAATCTTCCACTTCCATGTTAGTTCCAGGGAGGGTATCAAGATAGATACCTCTGGAATCCTCACGACATTCACTGATCATTTTTGAAAGTACTGTGATTGAATGTATCTTATATTCGACATGCACTACTTTTGTTCCCGCAAGACGTTTCGCCTGAGATCAAACAAACAAATGAAACTTGGTAGCGCTGCTTCTACCAAGGCCATACCCATCATGGATTTTCGGTTGGCTTCTTGGCATGGTGTGCTACACCTATCCAGGCTGCGGGTGCCAGACAGCCAGATCTCAGGTCCCCAAATCCCCCGCGGCAAGCAGCGCAAACTAGGCGGATGGTTCACCATACTTAGCAATCTTAGCAAAACCACTGGGTATAGAGGCAGGTGAATGGTCATTACGGGGGGTCCATGTTTGTTTGAAGGGGTCCAGGGTTATACTACCCTTGCAGACCGAACTTGGCTGCTTGTTCGTCCACCTCGCCCTGTCGCACGCGGTAAGACGACGACTCGAGTGTTGGACTCTCCCTCCAATCCTGGTCACATCTGGGCCCCCTGTTCTTCATGGGAAGTAGAATGTAGACCTTTGGATGGCCATGTTCCTCTACATGGGGCTTCTGCTCAGCTTCCATGATTGTTGGAGGGAGAGGAAAAAAACGGGGCTGGCCAAAGTCCTGCGAGCTGGGCCTACACACTGGCATGGTTTGAACATAGAAACGGATGTGTGTTCTCGGATGACTTTCCTTTCAAGGTCATTCAGATTCAGAATGTGTAGGAGCGGAACTTGTTTGACTCTCCTCCATGTCGTTTGGGCCCTTTGGTCACTTTGCATTCTCGACGCCTATGACATGAGATGCATGAACGCAGCTGGTGGGGAGTTCTGTGACGGTGAAGATCCATGTCGGAGCGCAGCTCATCTCAATGTAGTTCCATTCTGCGGGTGACAAAGGGGACTAGCCAGCGGGGGACCTTCCTTTTGGTCATGATGTAACTGAGGATTGCTGGAACAACCTGTTCACTCACAGCTATTGCTGCGTGGAAACGCCATGCTTTTCCTGGGGTTCATGGGCGATGACCGAGCCCAGCAAAAAAGAGTTGGCACAGAGTGGGGTGGTGTGCCGCTACCTCTGTCAAGCTGAGCCACAGTGCAGGCACTGGACATTTGTCATCCCTGGCTCCCATGATCCAGACAGTGGTGGACCATGTTTGATGTACAATTCTTCCCATGCAAGCAGTCCGTGGAAGCAGGAGCCCGAACAAGAATCCAAAGTAGTCTCAGGCTTGCGGTTTTGCAAGCCAGAAGAGCACCATGACCTGCTTGTGAGCAGAAAGACCCTCACGGACGAGTCCGAGCTGCCAATATTCTCAAGCGCAGAGAATGCTGCAGGAGCAGCTCAGGCGATTTTGAGTGAAGGTTGGGCAGTACTGCGAGGAGCCTTAAGCGATCCACTACTAACAGCCTTGAGAGAAGCTTGCAGCAGGGCAGCCTTGGACTTATTGGCACGCGACCCGCAGCGTGTGGGGAACAGAGGGCCTCGCAGATATTCCTGGGGAGGAGCTTCCACATCGCACCATATGGTACACCTCACGCCATGGGCTCAACTTCTTGATGTGGACTCTGTAGTCAAGGTGCTGGAAGCCCTTTTTGGTGAGTATGTGGCCATTGGTGGTGGAGGTGATTTCGTTCTCGGTGAGACCGACACACATCAACGCCTGCATGTGGATTTGCAGCTTGAGGCCATGTATGCATCTCCAGCCCCTGCGGCGCTGGTGGCCAACTTTGTCGTCTCGGACATTTCATGCCAAGATGGGCCTGTAAGGTTGGTGCCCAAGACTCAGCAGATGCCTTTGGCCAGCCAACTGAGTAAGGACTGGGGATATGCCACACACCTCCAGAAGGAGAGCTACATCCTCTCTCACGCCAACCTCAGCTATGTTTTCGCATGCCCTTTGAAGCCGGGCGATGTCCTTCTCCGTGATATGAGACTTTGGCATGGCGGATCCCCCAACCTGGGTGCTGATCCTCGGTATTTGCCCTCGGCGGAGTTCCTCTCCAGACACTATGCCGAGGCGCTGATTATTTCCACAGGAGAAGCCATCACAAATCATACCTGTTATATATAAGATGATATAACCGTACATCATAGCATTATCGCACTCAATTCGCCATCAACCCCTTTACCCCATATACGGTAACCTTCTTCCCATACAGCCCAAGCATGCCCACCTCAACCCTGCCGAAGAAAAAAAAAAAACGGAAAAAAGACAACCCACGGTTTCCACACCGGCCGCAACGGGCCAAGCGTTGCAGAGGCCACACGTGCGGTGCCAGAGGATCACTTCAGCCCGCGCAAAGCGTTGCCCTTTGCCCTTTGGCTGCGGCTCTCGGAGCCCACGCGGCGCCGGGCGCGCGAGATCCTGGCCGCGCCGGAGCGCGTGGAGGCAGAGCGGAAGGACTTCCTTCTGATGTTGCCTTACGTGGCGGAAGAGCGGCCATAAAGGTGCCATCACTGTGAGACCTGAGATTGAAGGCATGTGACTTCAAAGTCACCATGTGGTCGTGAACTAACAAAGTCAAAGGAGTCAAAGGATTGGAGGAGAAGCTAAGCTATGAACATTCATCCTGAGAAAGGACACATTTTCACTTGATCAGAAACTGTACCAGCCAATCTCGCACCAGCAGTGTCGCTTGGACAGACAGAGAGGCCGCAATTTTACTGTCATTTGACACCCTCAAAGCATGGAGCGACCATTCTTAGGACCAATAATTCAGCAGGGCTGAAGTTTTTATGCGTACCAAATCCGGACAAGCCACTTGGCATTTCAAGATGAACGTAGCCAATAGACAGCGCCTTTCATGCTGGACCCCGACTCTGACATTGAATTGGAGAACAGAAGAAACACATCCACACCCTAGGATCCTTTGATCATTCCTGACTGTCAGCGGGGCTCAGCTCTCTCAGAAGAATGCTATAGCTTCACAAGCTAGCTCGATGTCATGCCCCTGACCGCCAGCTCGACCTAGCAAATTTGGCAAGTTACCTCGGGGCCCAGAGATGTGGAGATATTGAACGAAGCCAAAAATGTCTGCATTGTTTGTGGACACATTTTGCAAGGATTTTGTCATCTTTGCTGCCTCCTGAGGAGGTATCTATGCGTTTTTCGGAAGCTATGACTGCGGGTACCAGGTGAGAGGAATAGCGGAGGAGATCCAGATCTTGATATCTGATAGAGAGGACACTGCTGCGGTCCAGCAAAGGAGCAACGTGCAGAAAAGAACGCACCAGGTTGGTGGAAGGAACATTGGAAACTGTAGGGGCGTGTGGCCACTTTTGCCTGGTTAGAATTTGGCGTGGACCCTGGAACGGAGCTTTTGGAAGATCATTCTCCTCACAAACCGGTAAAGTCAACTAGAGGGTCGGTCGGAGTCCTAGCGGGCACACTGGCCACCAGGGCAGGTCCTCGGAATAACGGCGCAAAACGGCAGAGGCGCCATCTTCTCCGACCTGATGTTTGTCCGAGACGCTCCGCAGTGACGTGGCCGCGTCTGAGTTGGGCCGAAGCGCGTCGCCCATTGGGCCAAGCCAACCCGTTTGGTGACGAGCAGCTGGTTGGTGCTTGGGGTGTCTTACGGTGATCGTGAGGAGTTCCTGTTGCAAGTTGCAACTTTACGTATATATATATATAAATACTTTGAAGTATTTTGGATTGAGGGATGTGGGATCAAAAAGAGTGCCACAAGTGTGGTGTACCTCTTCGCAACTGTGCATCCTCTCCTCCCAGGCGAGCCCTCTCCAACAACAACATCCTCTGGTGCTTTAGCTTCTGGTTCCTGGTCGTGCAGAACTCCGACGCCGTCGGGGGGCCCCAAGCAGAGGCCGGTGGGACGTCCCATGCAGGGAGCGTCCCAACCGTTGGAGGTCTTTGAAGACGCGTATGTTCAAGCTTCTGAGACTCCGTTTGCAGAGAGATGTCATCTACCTGAATGGTTGGGCTCGGCGGCTCAGGCATACAAGTTTTTGCAGGGGAAGCACGTCCGGACTCCCAAAGACAATTTGTGAGACTGAGAAACCTTCACTGCTTCAAAGCGTCAGAGGACATGGTCCACCTGTGTTGTTTTTGCAGATTTCGAGATTGGTTCTGTCTTGGAACATGTAACTCATGGATGGTGCACCCTGGTCACCCTGGTCAACCGATTGGTCCACGGATCCGGCCCTGTAGGTTTTCGTGTGGCTCACCACGTGGTGGCTGGCAGATGCCACCCGAGCCTCGCTACTCTTTCTGGAGCGTGCGGTGGAAGAGCAGCCAGTGTTGGGAAGCTCATGCGCCGTCTTCGGCGTGTGCGCAATTCGGGCGGGGTGAAGTGTGTGGACTGAGCACGTATGCATAGATCGTGCGTAGATCGTAGGTGCAACTCTTGGGGAAACCAGAAGCATATGGACTCGACTCCCATGGATGCAAGATGGTGCGGAAAGGTTGACAATCAATTAGCAGAATTACTGCAGTACATTTATTGAAAATTGCTCACATTTAGAGTAGGTGAGGGTCTTCTAGCCCACGACACAGTTATGGTTCTGGTTGACCAGCAAAAAGCTTGACACATATACTTGATTCCACCACCTTTGAAAACAACGTATTGATGTTTCAATCTGACCAGCCCCGATCACTGCGCTGGGGGAGCCGTCCGACCTGATTTTGACCCAGGGGCACCGGAACCTTGGAACCAGGTGGCTCCTTTGGTCGGTGGTCCAAGCGCGATCGCTCCGCTCGCAAGCGCGCAGGTTTGCACGAGGAGTGTGGCAGGCCTTTGTGTGGTGTGGTGCCGGTCCGGTTGCACGCTTGGTCAGGGCCCTGTCCAATTGTGCTCTCATTGGATTTCTTCACTTCTTTCGTGCTTCAGCAAAACAGATGAAGAGCAGGAACCCCCTACTAGTAGCCTCCTCACCCCAGGAATCTTACACCCAGGTGTTCACAATCGCCCGCTCATCCCAGCAAATACCGAGATTGAGAAGAGCATCAGAGGGGAGCCTGTGCCAACTCTAGACAAGGCGGGTAGTGTTGGCAGACTCCAAAGCACACCAGTTTCTGTGCGCGAATCGGCCGTGCACATCGGTGCGAACATGCGAACGGGCAGCTGATATACTGTTGCGGCCCACTTGGGAGGTGCAGCCGAATAGCCTGAACTTCTTGAAGTTTCCGTTGGTCGCCATGTTTTGGAACATGATCTTCTACTTGCCTCTTCCTCAGATCTTCCACACTCACGGCCATGCAATGCGCAGGGGGAAGGCCTCACTTTTGTTCGTATCCAGCTCCCAGCTATAACTTATGGTCCAAGTCCAAGCCAAACAAAAGTTGCGTTTGATTCTGAGTTCATTTTCCATTTTTGAAGACCGCCACGGACAGTAAGGGGATGGCCTTGAACAGCTGGTTCACCTACACTTCTGGAAACTATGCCATCCAGAAATCTCATGTGCCCTATTTGTGGACACGAGCTAGCAGCTGGCAGTTGCCATGGCTCAGGTGCTGCTTAGCCTTTTTGACTGACTGTGGCTTCTTGAGCTCTGAGCCTAAGTTGAGCATGGTCCAATGTGGGGCTGCTCACGAGGCCGAACTGACCGTTGAAGAAGCGGTGGATGCGGTGGACACTGGCCGTTGGCGGAAAAACAGAGTGTAAGGATGCACCCACCCAGAATTGTTTGCAACAGGTGCTGAAGAAGCGTTTTGACAACAGGAATTGTTTGCCCTACCAAGTGCTTAAAGCATGTTTGCCGAAGAGCCCTAAGTGCGTGCAGGACTTCTATGGATTCTGCACCTACATGCCTTGCATCCTTCATCTTTGCCGGGCATATTGGGCAACTTGGCAGCATGCCCACCGCCACAATTTGGTGCCTGGGCCATGGGCACTCGTGTTCAAAACTTTGTCCCTGCAACATCCGGCAACTGGCTCTCCAGCAGCACCAAGGCGATGTACGCATACGATGGTGTTGTGACTCGGCGCAGTGAGACACTGGGTGCCGGGAACAGGACCGGTGATTCTTTTTTTTGGGGGGCTGCACTGCCCATCAAGCTCGGCTTGAATGTGTTGTGGTCCGAAGATTCCCGAAGATGATGCCGGCATCAAGCCGCATTTCACCCGTTTCTTCTAGGCTTGTAGCATCAGTAGGCAGCATGACGTAGCAAGTCAATGCTTGTAGTTGCTACCCTCGCAGCTCTGCCTCCAGGTCATTTTCGGAGATTGCCTGTGTATGGAAGGCGTTCGTGTCCCTCGTCGTCTCCGGAAATGAGGCGCCCGGTCTTTGCTTTTTGTTGCGCCCAGTTGTCAGCGAACTGTATGAGTTGCAGGTTCTTGGTGGTTTGACCTTTCCTTTTTCGGTATCATGATTCATGTACAATGCTGGATGCATCGTGCTGCGCACGCTGCAAACCCGTGCTTGGTTGCCAACCATCAACGATTTGTACTCTGAGGTGCGTGAGATTTGGCAGTGGCTTCGGCCAAGTGACCTCGCGGCCTCGCTGGAAAAGAACCCGTGGAGCAATGGGTAGTGACGCAAGATGCTTGCAAGGGGCTGAATTATTGCAGTCATGTGAAGTCGAGGTGCAAGCTGTGAGCGCAGATCTTCATAATCCTTTTGGCAGAAGAAGCTGTTCCAGAGTGTGACCTGGGTCTTCGGATATGTTACTGGGCTGACTGAACTTGTGCAGATTGCGTCACAACCCATTTTCCCCCGTGCGCGGCGAGGGGTGAATAACCAAGACGACCTCCATCGTTCCAGTGGCTGACTGCTCGACGAAGGCAGAAAAGGCTTCGCCACGCAAATCCGCCTCATTAGACTCCTGTAGATCAAAGTGGGCAGCCTGCAAACCACTGGGTTGCATATTTATATACATATAGGTATTTAGTCTGCAGGGGTTGACTCTGCCGGACGGTTTACCTGCCAGCGTTTCGGTGTTGCTTGATGTTGCCTGTGCTTGATGTTGCGTATTCAACACCCTGCCAAGTGCTTCGTGACAGTCCGCCACTGTTCAGTCTTGAACCATTTGAAGGCCAGGGCATCCGAGTCACACCCAGAGTCATTATATGGATGGACACGGGCATCACGGACCAAGCTGAATATCCTCATGAGTTGCGCTTTCCACGGCGATTTATCCCAATCTATTCATCGAATGCCAACGTTTGAGTCACCCATGGCTAAGCATCTCAACTGCTTTGGATTCATCATGACTTCGAATGCAGACGCATTCACCTCAAAATGAGACCGCTGTCCTGTGCCCGGCTTCCCGTTTCCGCTGTTTCCGCCGATGGTTGTTTGGCTGGGCCTTGAAAACATGAGCGGCCAGACTCATTGGTGTGTAGAGAGCGCAAAGTGACGAGGACACGCGACGCACTTGAAAAGGGTGGATGGCTCATGATGGAAGTTGAGAAGAATTCTTGCTCACTGGCAGAATGGGCAACTCGTACTGCTGAACTCTTTAATTTGCCAAAATTATCGCACTTCTTGCCACTAAGTTCGCGTGGGGCCAGTTGGGTAACATGAAAATCGCCTCAGGCAGAACCACGTAGTGCAAGCCCCACCAAGCCTTGCACATGGCACCGCAGTTGGAGACGGTGAAGTCTTTGCCCGAATTTCTGGAGCTTCTTGGATCTGGGATGAGATATGATGGGATGTGGGAGTGAAGGATCCAGGGCTCGTTGGAGAGATTTTCAGGGTATAGAATGGGTCTTACCATGGTCTTACCAAGTTTGCACTCTATCTTCCAAGCTCCACTGGGGTAAAAGTGGAGGACTGTAGTTGGCTGACCAAGGCAGAGATTTGGCTTCAAGACCTTTCTCCAGGACGCTGGGGTGTCTACAGTGGGTTTTCCAGCTTTGTTCAGTCTTGGACGACTTGCTGATGCATTCTGAATTTTTCATCGGCTGAGAGTAGTGCCCGCTCGCTACAGTTCTAGGCTCCTTTCCTGGTCGTGCAAGTATTGCTCTTTGGCCCATTTCACAGATTCGAAGCTACGCGCTTTCGGAGTCTTTTGAGACTTGAAGGACTTGCGTGGCTCCGTGAGCAGGGGAAGGCCTAGCCTGAATGCAGCAGCTCGGGATGCCCAGGGGGTGACAACGAAGCCTTTCCAAAGATGTTTGAAAGAGCTTTTCCAGCCATGGAAATCTGGGAAGCGAAGCAGTTCAATGAATCCATGCGGCCATGCGGAACGAGAGCCACTACGAGAGCCATGCTCTGAGATCCTTTCTTGAATCAGGTCCGCTTACAGATGATCAGCATGACCTCCAGTGCAGGTGCAGTGACACAGGCCTTCTTGAACATGTAGCTGGTGAACATATTTGGCGTATAGGCACTGTATGGAAGTTCAATGATTCTATGAGCACCAACATGGAACTATTGACTGTTGTCTTTGCCGGGTCCCAGTGATTGCACTGCCAACCGCAAGTGTTTCGCACCTGTGATTTCAGTCGTTTTGTGAACGGGAAGGTTTCCTAAATTGCAATGCCTTGGATCAAGACAACTTCATGACGACGGGCACAACATGCATGACCTCAAATGCGGTAAGGAACGCAGGAGTAGGAGCAAGGAGACGCGCAAGCAACATCTCAATTGTTTGTTTCTGCAACCGCCGCAGTCCACTCTAGGAGCACGGTGTTGGGAAAGAAGTCTAAGAACTTAGGGCAACGTTTATGCTTTGCCAATGTTCTCCCTCGAGAATGTCTTGGTGGATCCATTGTGCCCCATCTGGACTAGTCCAGTCAAGTTTGTTTGCGCAGCTGAAGAGTTTCAGAGCCGTGGCCAACACCTGGGGATGGTAGACAACCTAACTTGGTTGACCCATGATTGTCCTATATATTCCTTGAGCCGAGCTGCTCAGAATCAATTGGAGGCAGGAATCAATCACCGACGTGCCATGCATCAATCCCTGCAGGTACCGTCCTCCCTTGTCCTTGGCGATCTTTGCTGCTGCCTTGAAGTACATCACAACTGCATGGGTCCGGGGGCTGAAGAGGGTGGGGGGAACAGGAACTTAGCTGAGTCCTTGGCCCGCAGAGACCAACTCGTGGAAAGCATCGCGTGAACCATCCGAAGCCCCAAGTGCACAGGATCAACAATGGTGGTGCAACTTCATTTCAATCCAGTGTCGATAGGGCCTCGCTAGAGGGAACTCCAGGTGCCTAATTAATTCTAAAGCTTCAATCCACCTCTTCAGCATTGCTGGCCTCACAGATGCCAGGTGCTAGATGATCCCTTGCTGAAAACCAGCGCAACGCTGCGGAAGGCCTCTAAGCCCAGCTTGTGAAGGATTCAGGGTGTGAAGTCCAGCACAAGCGCCGGTTGGATATGTCTTCAGCTGATCCTTGATGTTTGACCTCTATCTATATATTATAGATATGTTTTGGTGTGTGTGTGTGTTGTAAACCAACCTCCTCGTTCTGTTTCGGAGCTTCACTAGCTCCTGTCATTTCTCAGGGTCGGGTCCACACTTGATGCCATGCTTGACAGGAGCGCGATCGACCTCCTGATGTGAAGGACTACTCCTGGGCTGCAGATGTCTTGTGGAAGCAAATGCACGTGTTCGCAATGTTGCAGTACATCGAGTTTCTCCCACACGTTGAGGAATTATTGATTGGACATGATTGGACTGAAACACTGCGGGGCGAGGTGTCACGCCTACTTCTGCGCGTGATTTTCTTGATCCTGTCCTCCAGCGTGCTCTTCAAGGACAGGTACTGTATGAGGAATCCGTCGAGAACCAAAAAACAGTGAATTGGCAACTGCCACATTCCTACTACATTTCTTCGCAGCTCTTGGAAGACTGAAGCTTTTCAAGCACCCCTCAATGAGTTCATCAAGCTCACACTATTCCGCCATCTACTTCACTTTGAATCCTGGTCCCTGGTCCCTGGTCTGGGTTACACCGTGCCCTCGCGTGCCACCTCCATCCCAGGACGTGGGGCTGGTGATTCACGCGATCCGCACCACCAAAGGCACCTTGAGGCGGGATCCGGGCCGGGCAGTTCGGACCGATTCCGGAACGGAGGGGCATCGGGAAGTCGGTGGCGGCTTTGAGGTGACCAAACTGGAGCATCTAGAGCTGTGGCAGGCCTCTAGCTACAGTTTCCAGTGTGCTCGGCCAATTTGTCGGCCATGGTGCTCGTGTGCCTTGCCAGGATCGGACGGCCGTATTTTGGCTGGTAAGACCATCTCAATTCGCATGTGCAGTGCCGGGATTTGCTGGGTCTCAGACCCAGCGACCACCAATAAGGATCCACGAGTTGTTGCACTACACCGGCATCATTTTGGAATATTTTGGACAATGGACCTTCCGTGGGAGTCTTCTTCGACGCCCGTGGGAGTGGTATTTTCGAAGTCTGCAACAGGTCTCGGTCACGTCTGGACATCGGTGCGGACGTTCGCCAGTTCCCCCAGGTGGGTCCATGCCGCCGTCATAGTGATCGCCTTTAGACGCCTGGCGGAAGACGGAGCAGGTTTCGATGGAACGCAACGTCTATTCACTTGGGGGGCCTTGGGCACCACTTGCTGGATGGCTACAGCTACGTAACTTGCTGTCGTTTGGCCGAATGCCCCGAAGCCTTACATCCAGCATTACCGTGACGGTTCCCTTGCCTTGCCAGACTCCTTCCGGACATATCCGATGACAGCCCGAGATCGGTCAAAGCAGCCCATAGGCTCATAGGTAAGACCGTCGCGGAAAGAGGGAGACTGGGAACCGGTTTGAAAGAATCATAGAATCAAGTTAAGGGGGTCATTCGGCACCAGAAATTTCTATCCAGAGTTTTGGGGCGACTGCCGGAAAACACAGGAGACCCGGTGGAATCCACGGGTTTGGCATGGATCAAGTACTATACCTTTCAACTTGCAGGGGGGGCTCTTTGCCTTTGCAGCCCTGGCTGCAACACATTTTGCCCTAGGTCCAAATTCTGTGGCCGCCGTGGCGGCCACATGCGTGGCCGAGGCGTTTCTGTTATATGCTT